TAAATGTATACTTATGAAGATACACATGATTGAAAACTGGTTAACTCACACACATGTGCTCCAAAATCTTGAATCAAATATTTTAAAATTAATACTGATCTTTTGTGATTTATTTTTAAAATATAAAAAACTGTTATAGTTTGATCTCTCACCTAGAACACTATATTTGATTCAAGATTTTAGAGTGTAAGTTAACTAGTTTTCAATCACGTATATCTTCATAAGTATACGTTTACAAATTATTATTCTAATTAATAATTAATATCGTGATAAGGATTGTTCTGATTATACCAAAACAAATTATTGCGTTTATTAGCATATTTGATTATACGTATGTAATATTTTGACATTGGAATAAATACACTAATAAACGTAATAAGTGTTTTGTTATAATGTTACGTTATTGTATGTTTGTTTCTAATGTTCAGTATTAAGAACTTTATTATAATTTCTCTTTCTTGGTGATAGTATCCGAACGGTGCTTTTCCAGTATACCTACATTGACGTTCTCTAAAATATTTTAACATATTACATTCTATTATTGAAAGATAATGCAATGGAAGTGAATATTTATTAATTCCAATGTCTAAATCTTTTACATATACATAATCAAATACACTAATAAACGTAATAAGTGTTTTGGTATAATGTTATTACGAAATTGATTAACAGAACAATCGTTCCTCACAATATTAATTATGAATATGTTAGATACTGTACGAGATGGATCAAGTAATACACGCCTGTATAATAAATAATCCTGTTAATATCTTTATTATTACAGTTACACACTCTATTATTCGTACTCTTGTCCATAGACATAGACTATATATATGCACGCACGCTTTTCCCAATGACCTGCGCGCTATCTCGACAGTCTGTTACATGTAGACTCGCCAACACCCCCTCTTCTTAATAAAGCACATAATCATGCAGGAATGTTGGTAATTTTATCGTTCTCCTGGGACGGTCTTCCAAGATTCTTTCCTGCTCTGGTTCATCATCCGATGATGCTGCCGAGGTTCTAGGTGTTACAAAGTTCTCACTTTGATTATCATCTTCTTGATCCACTTGGAATTCTTCCATCAATAAGTCGAGCGGTAATCTTGCGTTGGAATCTGCTCGACATTCTCCCTCAGCGTATCTGTCCAAGAGTTGATTGGTATGGCATCGGACAAGTGGCTGTCTTCTGTTTGAATCTAACAAGATGTTGTACATGACGTTGCCAATTTGTTCTATGATGGTACCGGGAATCCACTTCCATGAATTACCCACATACTGTTTAGCGTAGACCAAATCACCGCAATTAAATTTCCTATCTCTAGCTCCATGTTGTTTATTAAATTGTTCCTCTTGTTTGATATTATGTCGGGGAGTCTCTGGTTGCTTGGTAGATTTAAGTAGGTCTAGCATGGTCCTCACTTTCCTGCCGATCATAATTTCTGCAGGTGATTTCCCGTCTATATACTTGTTTGGAGTATACCTGTATGTTGTAAGGAATGTATTTAATGTTTCCTCTATTTCCTCTCCTTCGTTGATTTTCATTATACCCCTCTTAAAGATGTCCACGAGGATCTCTGCCTGTCCGTTAGATTGGGGATTATATGGTGCCGACCGGAAGTGTTGTATGCCATTTAGTTCACAAAAATCTTGAAATGACTGGCTTGTAAACTGCGTTCCGTTGTCTGTTACAATGGTTTTTGATATACCAAATCGTGAGCAAGCGTCTTTGATAAATTTAAGCGTTTGCGTTGACGTAATTGTTTTTGTCATGTAAATTTCGGGCCATTTACTTTTGGCGTCTACTATCACTAGGAAGTAGCTGTTATGGAAAGGCCCCGCGAAATCCACATGAATACGTTCCCAAGGAGCATCCGATATTGGCCATGATTGTAACAGCGTTTTGACAGGTGATTTCCTTGCACATGCACATTTACATTTACTGTTCTCACTGCATGTTCGATGTCGTTGTCAATCTTGGGCTAGTAGACGTAGCTTCTTGCTATTGCTTTGGTTTTTTCCATTCCTGGATGTCCTTTATGTATTTGACGAAGAACTTTATTGCGTAATTCTGGAGGTATTATCACGCGTTCACCTAACATTAAGCTGCCGTTTACCATTAATAATTCGTTGCGTCTAATGTGGTACGGTTGAATGTCTTCAGTGATGTCTTTCTTGTTTGACGGCCAACCATGGTTTAGGTAGTTGATTACTGATTGAAGAATTAAATCATTCTTGGTTCCATGTTGAATGTCCTCAAACGTTACTGTTAGCGCCTTGATTGACTCTTGTTGAATTTGTTTCACTGTCGCTTCCATATGAGTTACGGCAATAATTGATTCTTCGTCTGGTTGTGCTCGTGAGTTGATTAATCTTGACAAGAAATCAGCATAACCAAATGAATCCGTGGAAATGTATCTGATCTCGCAATCATATAATAATAATGTACATGCCCATCTTTGTAATCTATTTGCTGTGTACACTGGAATGCCTTTTTTGTTTCCGAAGATGTGTAATAAAGGTTTATGGTCAGTCTCTAGAATAAATTTCTTCCCGAAAATTAATTTATGAAATTTGATGACTGCAAATATGAGTGCTAAAGCCTCCTTTTCAATTTGACTGTAGTTTCTTTCAACCTCGGTGAGAGTTCTTGATGAATGATAGATGGCTTTCCGACTGCCGTTAGGATATTCATGGAATATTACTGCACCTATGCCTGTGTTACATGCGTCCGCTGCCACTACAATGGGGACCGATGGATCGTAGTGTTAATAATAACTTACTTTGCAACACCTCTTTGAGTTGTTCAAATGCCTGTTGATATCGGGGAGACCAGTTCCAGGCTGTATCTTTCCGCAGTAATTGATCCAGTGGCCCTCTCAATTGTTGCATCTTGTATACGAATTTTCCATAGTAATTAATGGCTCCGAGAAATGCTCGAAGTTCGCTGATATTGTTAGGTGGTGGCATTTTCCTGATACAGTTGATTTTGTCGAGGTCAGGTTGTAGTCCCTGTTCATCAATAATGTGTCCGAGGAATTTCACTTGCTTTGTAAAGAATTGGCACTTGTCGGAGCTTAATGCGAATCCGTAGTCCTCAATTCTTTGTATTAGTTTAGTTAGATGATCCATGTGTTCTGTCGCTGTCTTGCTGCATATTATTATATCATCTAAATATGCGCTAACGAAGGGCATGTCAGCTATCATTGCATCAACAATCTGTTGAAAAGCTCCTGGTGCAGATTTGACACCAAATGGCAATCTCTTAAATTTAAATAACCCGCGATGCGTATTGATGGTTAATAGTTCTTGCGAATCTTCATTCACTGCCAATTGAAAATATGCATCCGAGAAATCGATTACCGTGAAACATTTGTTACCCGCTAATTTGGCGAAAATGTCATCAGGAAGTGGTAGCGGATGTTTGTTTGGCTGTAACGCTGCATTTAATCCAGTGGAGTAGTCTGCACATAAGCGAATTTTCCCGTTAGGTTTGTTGACCGCTACAATAGGTGCTGCCCATAATGAAAAATCAATCTTCTCAATGATATTTAGTTTCTCGAGACGTTGTAATTCGGCATCAATCTTAGGTAGTGCAGCATATGAAACAAGGCGTTTCTGGATGTATGTCGGTTTAATCCCCGGTACTAAATGTAGTTTTACCTCTGTTTTGGTGCATAGTCCTAGCTCCTTTTTGAATACTTTAGGGAATTTTGTGATTAATTGTTCAACATGCTCATCTGTTAATTGTGACTTAACTGTATGGCACAATTTGTTTATTGGAATCGACCATAGATTAAATAGATCTATATCCACTCTATACCAAATAAATTCAGTCCTGGCACTTTAGTGATGTAGCATTTCCCTTTTTTTGTTACTCCGTTTAGCGTGACATCGCATTCCATCTCCTGAATTATTTCTAATGGATCACCAGATGCATTGTATGCTGACATCGATGATACCTTTGTTGTTGGTTTCCCAAGTAGTTGCCAAGTCTCTTGAGAAATAAGCGTTATGTCTGAAGCTGTATCAATTTGAAGTTTAACTTCTTGTTCATCAATTTTGACTGTGATAAATTTCCGCTTATTTTGAAATTGAATCTGATTTACAGAGATGACAACATTAGATTTTGCTGTACGTTGATCGTCTAATTTCTTCTCAGACTTTTTCTCTGATTTGGTATTGATTTTCGGCTTTCGGGCGCTATTGCAATATCCTTCCTTGTGACCTATCTTTTTGCAAGTACTGCATTCATGCTTGAGATAGTCGCAATATTTAGCGTAGTGCATACAACCACAATTCCAGCATGGAAACTTTGGTATGCCTGATGCTTTGGATTGTAACTTGTCTTTAGCGCTCTTAGAAAAACCTTGCTTTTTGCGTTCAACTTTATGTACGTTAGATTGCGCTGGTTTCTCTACTAATGCCGTGTCCATTTTAAGTGACACAATTCGTTGACATTCATTTACTAGGTCGTGTAGTGTGACCGGATTGTCAGTAGAATGTGTTTCTAGTTTACGTAATAATCTCGCTCTAATTTCAAAATCTTTAGTTGCCTGTAGACCTGAAATGAAAACTAAGCATTTAAATTGTTCAGGTCCTAATTCTGTGAATTGAAAATCCTCACAATTCCTATTGACTATGCCTGCATACGTGACAAAATCGTCGTTATCATTTTTCTTTGTCTTTAAGCAGTTATAACGTCTACTAAAAATAGTGGTTTGTAACGAAAGGATCTGCTTAAGCTTGTCCATTGTGGTTTTGAAATCAAAATCCTTTGTCGTCTTTGGAAGAATGTAGTTAACATACTTTCAGTGTGACTTTTGGTCCAATTTCCGTAATAATAGTCGTACTTGTGCTTGTTCGTCCACTTAAGCACGTGCTGCCGTGAATGCGTCCTCGTATCTGTTGTACCATTTATCGAAGGTTAGACCATTTTCAGGGTCATAACTGAATTCTTGGATACTGTTTGCTAATGCTTCAATTACGAGTTCATTGCTTTTCTCTGGCTGTGTAGTTGTTGGATTGTGTTGAATTGATCTGGAGACACGGTAGTGTCTCGGCGCTAAGCCAAGCGCGCGACACTGCCGTGCCTCC